CCCCCTGGAGCCGCGCTTCCGACTCCTCGCCCGCCAAGCCCACCGCCAGCTGCGCATCTACCAGAAACGAAAGCGCGAGCCGCATCTCTTCGGAGCCCAGTCGTCGGTGGTGGTGGTGGAGGGGGAGCTGAGCAGCCAAAGCGCCGCCCAGATGCTGCCGCAGCTGTATCTGTATTCGACCGAGCGCGCCACGGGCGAGTCCGTTCAGGGGACTTCCGCCGAACATGGGCCGGGGAGGCGCAGGGAGTCCCAGCCCGGGTGGCGAGGTGCTGGGCATGCGCGCGACCTGCAGTGTCAGCTCGATCGGAGATCGTACCGAGCTTATTGGGCCTTTACCGCCAGCACAACACGCAAGTGCGGAGGGAAGGGGGGTGGGAGATGAGCGTGACAACGACGACGATGAGAAGGAGGAGGAGGGCTACGCATTCTTCTCCTTCATAGATATCAACTGCACGGTGCGTGCGCGGGAGGGGGAGTTTCTGGTCGGCAGTGCCGGGGAGAAGGGGAGCGGGTGGTTGGGGTTCAGTGTCAGCTTTGATGGCTGTGCGATTGAGAGGCCGAGGGTGGAGGGCGAGTGGAGGGCGTTGATGGAGGCGCTGTTTGAGGAGGTCGAGGCTGGAAATGAGGACGGCCACGACGAGGTCAAAGGGAGTCAGGAGTCAAGCGAAGCGCAGCGGAAGCGGGCGGGAGGGGGAAGAGTTGAGACGATGCGCGATGGGAAGGCGAGCGTCATGGCCAAGTTGTGATGTCGATTCCAGCGAACTTGTCGCCTGCATCTCGACTCGTTTCATCTTTCATAGCTTATGGCTGGCTACGAATGGGGCTTCTCACGTAAGAAGAGAGCTGCGATGATAAAGATGGAGATGATGAAGGCACATTCAGCGGAGGATGATGGTGCTTGTGCATACTTGACTTTGTGTGTGTGTCTCTAGATACAAGCATAGGGTGGACGACCCGGCGTCATGCAGAGCCCAGAGGCCTGATAGGTAGTTAATCCAACGGGAACAGACAGCTCAAAAACACCAGAATAGGCCCGGGAAATTTTGATTCTCACCAAACCCGCTAAGCCCTTCATCTCTCTCCATATCTCTCCATCGCTGCCATCTCACGATACTCCTCGAGGGCCTATTGTCCTGGTTTTTTTTCAAGGCATCCAAGCAAGGCAATAGGGGGCTGCCTACTGTGTTTGTTCGGACCAGCCTTTAGGACCACAGTCCGTCAGTATCATGACACGACCGGTAGCCGGCGCCTTAAGGGCTAGACGCGGAGGTTGCCCTAACTAGGTACTTCGCACGACGAGCTACTAAACGAGGCTTTCATTTCTAGCAGCTCGAACCCGGACTCTCCTGTAACCGAATGGGTCTAACCGGAGAGGCAGGACCTCGCTGCACATGCATGCTGCCTTGGAGCTGGCCCGGGTGCCAGCAGATTGGTTGTGCGTGGGGGACTAACTGCAGGCTCACCACGGTTCATGCGGTCGGGAAACTGATACTGACTGCTGGTTTGATAAGGCAACTGGAACCACTGCATAGAAAAAAGGCAGATTTTGGATTTCGGCTCATGTACGGTATTTGCTCGTGGTTACGGGGTACTTTTAAGACCTCGCGTGGGGGAAGGCCTGTTGCCTGCCGATACGACGCATGCGAGACCCTTGTGTCATTCGCGGAAGAGTAGGGTCGATGCCTTCAACCGCGCAGCACTAATTGCAAGATCGAAAGGCCCCTATTCGAAAGACCCCTATAATTGGTGATGGAGCTTGGCCAATACAAAATCAGAAACAACGATTCCTTGAGGCCCACTGTCTCGAGCAACGAAACCACCGCCCTAGAAGCCCAGGACTGGAACCAGTACCATGGTTGGCTCTCCTCACACCTGTCACTGGGTCTTTTCGGCTGAAAACTCATCACGACGGCTAATAGCATGACACTTGGAAGGTGCTATTGGAGCCGATTGCATCAAAGTGATGCTCGGGCAGATCTAGAACAAGCTAGTGTGGTTGCCTTGTCAATGTGAATCATAGCTTTCCAGTGCTCGGTAGGAAAAGAGGTTGACTCCCCATAATGGACCAACAGCTGGTTTCACAACCCATGATCATAACTCGACATGGCAGCCTGCTCAGTGCACAGCCCCTGGTGTGGTGTGGTCAGGCGATCCAGGTTCACAATATGATCGTCATGATGAGAGGTTTCTGCAGAGAAAGATTGCGGATGTACGGCACTCAGACTGCTAGTGTAGAGCGAGCTTGCTTGTTCTCCACTCAAAAAGGCACCAACTTAGCAGCCAATGGGTAATCTGTGGCTGAGCTTGGTCCCCATAGAAGACTCTGAGCGAGATTACGTACGTAGTACGGAGTAGCTCTGATGGTTTGACACTGGTGGACACGCAGATTCACCGCAAGAGTGGCGACGAGGGTCAGTCCCACCATGCTAATAATGTGGACAGAAGTCATGCAGGACCAAGATCCTTGGCCAGCAACGAGGTGGGTTGATACCTTGAGGCCGGACGAGTTGGCTTGACTGAGGCAGTGCTCAGCTTGACTTCTTTCCACCGGCTTGAGAAAATTTGCAATGAGCGGTGACCAACCTTAAGTGAGGTAAAATGCCGCGTTGCAAGAGGTCATCGCACGAGTGGATCGCCATCGTATAGTAATAGTTGCCACATCGGGTTCTGAAGATTTTTCTGGACGCCGAGGCAGCTGGGACGGAGGCTAGACCCTAGGAAGCTAGCTCCATTTGGGAGGCCGAGTCGGCCGAGCCGGCTGTCGGTGCGTATATGACATGTACTACGTATGTCGTATGCTGGAGTGGCTGAGGTGCATCGATGATTGACGACTCCTGCTCCCAATAGTAGTAGATGGGCATCCAGGAGAGATAGTGACGACAATGTAGTCGTAGTCGTCGTGGATAGAGAGGTGCATGCACGCAACGACGGAAGAAGGTTCTCTTGGCGGACATCACTTCCAACAACATGCAGTCATCACTAGAAACAAGTGCCAGAAGAAGCATTTGTGAAACTCGAAATGATACGGCATTGATGCCTCGAAAGGCTGTACCGGCTCGCTTCAACGAAACGTGAGCATTGAACTCGGCGTAAGGAAGCTCTGCGCGCAGCAAGAAATCAAAGCCCAGGGTTCGCCACTCGCTGAAGGAGTAGAGCTGTGGCGTTTGAAAGGGCTACAAAAGAGCGAAAAAGAACAGTGCAGTAAAGCATCAAAGTGAAAGCGAAATCACACAAATCCTTTTGATCAGCGTTGGATATACAATTAGGAAGTGTAGGCCTAGGCTGGTACCTTTGCAATGGAGTTAGCAAGTCTTGCCCACCTGCCTCTGCCATTCCACATTATATATGCATTGCGTCTTGCCAGTCGGAAATCTAGGTCTCAGAGACTGAATGTATTCGTGGTAAGGCATCAAGGCATGGGATAACGAACAGCAGGAGGAGGAGGAAGAGATAGACAGATACATAGGGCTGAGGAGCGAGAGGAAGAGTAGTCTAGGGGTCCTTCGGTCGGTCTATCGGTCTAGCGGTCGCTCCATCTGTCTGACTTGACTAGTTACGCATAGAGCCTTAGTGCTGAACTCTAATGCAGAATTTCGAGACAGCGCCGTTGGGAGACGACGACCTCGCAGAAAACGTGTTGAGGACACTCAGAGTCGAGCTTCCTTGTTGAAGGGCATTCAAGTCAATCAGACTGTGCTGGACTGCACATAGAACACATAGAACACATAGAACATCTGCTCCGATGCACAGAGCCACGTCGTTAGCACCAGGTCTGGGGTTGATCTCCATCACAGTCTACCAATTGCCATGTTCTCCTCCCTGTTGGACCTTTCCCATGGCGCGGTCGAGGCACTGCAGCGCATACCATGGCCGGTGACCGTGGCAATACTGCTCAATACCCTGATCGGCATACTGGGTCTGGTTCGATTTCTCCATCTCCGCACCTGGAAGCACTGTCTCACGTTCACAGGCATGGTTCTTCCTCTTCATCATCGCCCCGGTACCCCGCCCCGCTCATCCTTCGGAGAAGAAGTTCAAGACTGTGAATGCAGATGGAGAGGTCACAAGATCAGCCCCATTACCTTGCTGGCTGGACAATATCAACCAAGGACGCAGGAAGGGGCAGAAAGATGGACAATGCTCCCTCGAAAGCATCCCAATCGAACCAGCCGAGCTCTTCATGTCTGTCGTGGTACCCGCCTTCAACGAAGAAGACCGATTAGTGGGAATGCTTGAAGAAGCTGTCAACTACCTGGAGCACGAATATGGGCTCCTCTCCGACAAGGCAGACGCAGCCGCAAAGCACAACGGAGCCCCTATTCGCCGCCGAGCAAGCGGCCAAACCGAAATCAACGCCCACTCCCCAGAGACACACAACCCAGAAGCGGCGCGTGGCTGGGAAATCCTGCTCATAGACGACGGCTCGACCGACTCCACCATCGAAACGGCTGTCCATTTCGCCCGAACGCACCAGCTCCCTCTCCGTCCCCGGCGCAATTCAGGCCCCTGGTCTCACCGTTCAGATTCCGCCGTCAACATCCCCCCCGGCAGCATTCGACTGGTCTCGCTGAAAAAGAACCGCGGCAAAGGCGGCGCCGTCACCCACGGCATGCGCCACGCGCGCGGCGCCTACGTCGTCTTCGCCGACGCTGACGGGAAGAGAAAGACAAGGCGCAAGGCCGAGCCGTGGCCGTGGGCTCGCGCGCCCACCTCGTCGGCTCCGAAGCGGTGGTCAAGCGCTCCAAACTGCGCAACTTCCTCATGCATTCCTTCCACCTGCTCCTCAAATGGATGACGCCGCCCCGCACCGCCGCCATCCGCGCGACACGCAGTGCGGCTTCAAGCTCTTCACGCGCTCGTCGCTGCCCTACATCATCCCCTACATGCACTGCGAGGGCTGGATCTTCGACGTCGAGATGCTGATGCTGGCCGAGTTTGCCGGCATCCCCGTCGCGGAGGGTGCCGGTCGGCTGGAGGGAGGTCAAGGGCAGCAAGCTGAATGTGCTGTGGGACAGCTTGGGCATGGCCTGGGGTCTGGCCTTGCTGAGGATCTGTTGGGCGGTCGGCATATATAGACGTGATTAAACCAGCAACCTAGTTTTTGTTTCTATTCTTCAAGCTATCTACATCCTGTGAATGACAAGTGAAGTCCTGGAGGTCCTGAATCTGTTGTGCACCCCGTCTCGTGCCCTGGCTCCTCCAGCTACGTTGCTCTATCCAACGACATATCCTGGCGTCCCGTCCATCCGATTCTTAAAAGGCTATCAAAAGATCGGAAACAGAAAGGCGGGGGAGTATGAGACGGGACGATGGATTAATAGGTTGATGACTTTAAGGACGGGACGGACGCTTCATCTCCATCCATCAACACCCTGCACGGGTCTGCCTGCGGGCCGAGTGAGAAGGGAAAGGGAGGGAGGGAGATCTGATAGTATTCCCTCGACCGACCGACGAATAAGGGAATAAACAAATAAAGCAGAGGGGTGTGCCCTTCTTCGACACATAGACTCCATATGTATCGCAGGCAGGCCGGTATGAAGGGGGAAGGGGATCA